GTTTTACATGGATGCGAATGGCTTCTTCCGTGCCTGGATTTCACCCGAGGATTTATTGCCCTTTCAGAGAAGGAGTCCGGCTCTTGTGATTGTCAGCAACAGTCAAAAAGCAGTTTCAATTCAGTTTAAAGCATCATTTCCCATTTTAAGATGGCGAAAGTGGCTCTTAAGAGATTTATTTCCTCCCCAACTCATAGAACTATTTAAAAGGTCGGGCAGCTGTAGTGTAATCCTGACTCAAAGCCCAAGCAGCGGCAAAGGTGTCCACCAGCAGGTGGGATCAGGCCCCCGGCTCTCCCAGCTTGTAGGGATGCACGTTCAGGTCCTGCAGGAATCGGGGAGACTTTCGCTGTGGCTGCGTGTTTTTGCTGAACTTGGGTCACCCTGATAAAAAGCACATTATTGAGAAACACTCACCCCTTCTTTCCCTTTTTCCTTTCCCAGTTTTCCAGTGAGCTTTGACGTCGCTGAGCACACTGATAAAACTGACCCCGCGTGAGCCAGCGGCAAGACCCGTAATGACTTACGTGGCAAAGAAGTGCGGCATCAGCTTTCAGCCTCCATCCGTCGTCCTGATCTACAAAGACGACGCCACGGATAAGACTCGCCGGCGCAGCATGCCTGTCAGAAATTTCTCCAGGTTCTCAGGTGCGATGTGTTACTTGTGGCATTCCCCAAGCCCCCCCCAGGCGCAGCGAGAGGAACAGCTAGTTGCTAACAGCATTTTTAGTAACCACTGGGCAGCTTTCCACCGGCATGCGGGGGGGCAAAGAGGGGGTGGTTTGGGATAACTCTGTCTCTGTGGAGCCTGGGGCTACATCTTAACCTGAGCCATGGCTCTGCTAAGACTGGAGCTCTCGCTTGTGAGGGTCTGGGAGAAGAGGATCTGTTTATGGAAAGAGATTTGCTTGTAGGTGTGATTCTTCACGGTGGCTTTCTCCTTAGACTGCAGCTTGGCAGCCGAGCAGCTGAAGAACAACCCCCGGCACAAGGCTTACCTAGAAGGAGTCTCACTGCGTCAGCTCAAGAAGCTGTACAGTTTGCTGAAGGGTCACCTGGGAGGAGAGAGCCTGGCCGAGAGCTTGGAAAAGTTCCGTCAGGAAGAGACCATTGACCCAGAAGAGGATATGAACAAACTAGATGACAAGGAACTAGCCAAAAGGAAGAGCATCATGGATGAGCTCTTCGAAAAGAACAGGAAGAAGAAGGACGACCCAGATTTCATCTATGACCTTGAGGTTGAGTTTCCAGAGGATGAGCAGCTGGAGTCCTGCGGCTGGGATGTGGAGTCAGGTGAAGAAATCTGATTCCGGGCAAAGATGTCTCGGAGGGGCAGTTCAGAGACAAACCTGGCAGTCCTAACAGAGGGAACGATGTCAGCGTGCACGTTCTGGGGCACTGTTTCCACTTCCAGCCACTGAGGCACGCCGCCATGGAGAACCCAAGGCCTACAGCAATTCCAGGTTTAAGTGAACTGTGTTTCAAGCCAGGCTTGATGGAATGGAAATGGGGCAGCTGAACGTATTGGGTGTATTTAGTCTTCTGCTATGCACGAGTGACTAAATAATTTTAAATTCCTTCCTCTTTCATTCATTTAACTTTCAGTCAGCACTGGCTGAAAACCTCACCAGCTTGCCTTGCTGTCGCCTCTGTTCATCTGCACCTGAAAGCAAAGTGTTAAGTGTTTATGTCTTGAAAGCGATGCTAAAGCTTTGTTGTCCGCATCTGGTATTTATTGTTACTTGCTGGAGCGTTGAATAGATCCTGGTCTTTCAGGATGAATCAGCATTGCATTGAGAACGTTATTCTCAGGTTTCCTGAGCAATGCTTGGTACAAACTCAGGCAGGCTGGGGGTGGTTTTAGTGTAAACAAAAACCTTTACCCCTGCTTCCACAGCAGACTACAGCTCCCGGCTCACTAAGAGGTGCCGGGGGAGAACCTGACGAGTAAAACTACAGCAAAAGGTCCCCCACGCAACGTTTTAGTGGCCACCAAGAAATTCATCTCTGCAAACGAGTATTTTACTTGTTGCACCAAAGTTTTTAATTCCTCTCTCTACCTCAGCTGGTTTGTGCTAGCCAAATCCTGCTCTCTTGTAAGAACTGGAAGACTAAATTTAGGGTTCTTCAGAAAATGATGTAACTCCAAAAGCTTCCCGGGTTTTGGCTTTCCGAATCCGGGTGGCTTAAGGGTTGTGCATGGGATGGGCCTTCGTCCCAAGTTGAGCGGCCTCAACGAACTCGTGCCCGAGGTAGATAAGAGGAGTTGTAAAGTGCCTCCAAAACCAATGTTTCCCGTCTTCCTTCTTGCAACCACAAATGAATTAAAACCTGACGAGGTTACCAGTGAGGCATCGTATCATAGTGCAGAAGCTGGGGTTTGGAAGAGCTCTCCTCCTGCACACTGGAATGATAGAGCCAGTGCTGTGAAAAATCTGAAACAAGTGTCAATTAAACCACGCATCATGGGGGAAGGTGAGTGAGCTTACGTTTGTCCAAGGGACTCCTGAGTTCAGAAGAGAAATGGAAGGTGATGCCTTATTTACCAAAAATTAAAAAATACAAAGCCTGTCTCAGCCCTCCCTGATCTCTGTGATCTTGCAAAGATGATGAACAGCAGCTCTGGAAGTACACCGACCCCCCGAGCGGCAGCTCGTCTTGTTGCCCTGACGCCCCTTGCAGGTCCCAGCTTGGGGGGAGCCTTGGCTTTCCCAGCACCATTCCTGGGCAAAGCTGTTGACCCCTCTCGTGCGGGAGGAGGGTTGAGTGTCCCCCACATCGGTTCAATACAAGCAACAGCGCCCACAATCCATCCACGCCCAGGCGCCCGGGTTCCTACCTACGCGCGCACCCACGGCTGCACCCCACATCCCCCCACCAAAAGGAGAAGTGGCAGTGGCCGTGGCAGTGGAGGAAGTGCACATATTCACCCTCCAAGGCCGGACCCGGCACCCACAGCAGGGGGAAATGGCCCCAGGGAGTGGGGTGCTCACAGGGGCACCCTGCCAGCAGGGAAACACTGAAACGCGGCTGCGGTACCCGGCACCGGCGCACGCCCGCTGAAGGACGTTGCAGGGACGTGTCTATAGGTCACTGTTGTCCCTTGGGCATGTGGCTTATGGGCAAAAGAACGGCTGAAATGGGTCGAGGGATTCCCCAGCTGGGGCCCGATTTGGTTTTGGCTATTTTGGTCTAAATGAGGGCCAGAGATCAACCGTTTTCTGTCATCTGACAGCTGGGTTCCCAGAGCCTTGCCAGTGCTCAGCCCCAGCAGGGCTACAGACGGGTCCAGTGAGGCCCAACCTACACTGCTTTTTCCAGCCCAGCATAGCCATCGGCCATACAAGGCTCACCGGTGACCCCCCTGGCACTCGCCACAGCTCCATCTTGGCCTTTACCCCACCCCTGGCACTCACTGGAGCTCTGTTTTGGCCCCCTACTCTTTCGGCCACATCCCTGTATAAGGTGGGGTGACACGGGGCTGGCTGGGGGAGCCCACATCACCCCACCGAGCTCATCTGAGCCCAGGCAAGGACCAGCCCCCATCATGCCCACGCTGGCAGCGCCACTTGCTTCCCTGCACCACACATTCCCATTAAACCCAGCCTATGTTTCGCCGGAGACATCCCGAGGGTGCTGCAGGAATAAAGCCACTCTGGTTCTCAGCGGGGCTTTGGAGTTAGTACAAACCACCATCACTTCTCATTTCCACCCACAGGAACCCTCTGAGGAACAAAGCGGCACTTCCCCAGGTACCGCACTGCTGGTACGGGAGAGCTGGTATGTGCTGGGACCGGCGCGGGGGAGGAACCCCCCCCACGCTGCCGAAGCCAACGGCCCGCAGCAGCAAGGCTTGTGCAACAAGGAGGAAGGCTTTCTCTCGGTTTATCTCCTTTGCATCTGTTTAATCCAGCAATTGCTGGAGGAAAAGGCATTGGTGATAAAATACTACCACCGATATAACTTATTCTCACGTCTTTTAGTCCATATTTTACATCATTGCAACCCGGGCTATTTTTAAGGGACCTGCGGATTGTGGCTTACCCAAACAACGACACCCCAAACCGTGGTTTTCAGCCCTGCTGACCACGCCTGTCTTACCAGCACACGCACACGGGTGCATGCCCAGGGCTGC